ATCGTTTCGGACATGCGAGGTTTCCGCCCGATGCCGGCGACGCGACGTGACTGACGACAGACCGCGGCGCCCGCGTCAAGCTTTTCACACACTTTGACAATTTTGCGAAGCCACTTACCCGAGTTCGGTGTAAAGGATTGTCAAAATCGCTTCCCTCCGGCGCGAGGAGCAACCATCCTCCGTAGACGGGCTTCGCCTGCCAAGGACAAAATGGCATTTGGAAGAGCGAGCGCCACACAGAAAATCAACACGACAATTAGGCTCTTCTTGAAATGGCGGGACACTCCTTTCCGCGAGTAGTCGGCAGCTCGCGGTCAGTCAGCGCATCGTTCGACGCCGTGACAAATAGAAGAGGACGTCGCGGCCGACGGTTTTGGAGCCGATTCCTCGGCAACGGTCGGAGGAAGCGAGGCGCGAAGCTTTAGCGGAGGCCTAGTTGACCTCCGAACTCGAAGGCAATCGCAGAGAGCCCTCGGCTTGGTGACGAACGGCGTTCAAAGAAAGAAAGAAACCTTTGCGCTCGGAGCCTCTGTTGACACAGCACGCAGAAACGCACCGAGCGCGCGCCACAAAAGATCTGCCGGCGTGCCGCGGGAAATGATTCAATTCCTCACCGGCAACCCAAGCGAGGAGAACGCGGCATACAAAAATGGACGACTGGACCACAGGAACAAAAACAAACCCAATGACGTCATGAGGCGTCATCTTGAACCGTCAGCCTGTGAGCCTCCAAGAACTCGACTTGGAATTGGAGCCGCCTGCAAAAGGCCGTTGCAGGGGCCGAATGCTGCGCGGAAGAAGGCCAGCGGGTCAACCAATTTGGCCGACCCCCAGACTCGCTGCTTCTTACTGTAGTAAGAGCCGCATGCCATTGTAAACAACAAGGGGGGGGGGGCGCAATCTCCAACGTGTGGATGGCCCCGGTTAAAAAGCTCTCACTTGGCACAACTCGCGTCGCTTTGGAGGAAGAAATGAGACGTCAGCGTCGCCGAGCAACGTGAGCGAATCCACCTGTGCAAGTTGAACGCCAAAGTCTTCCGCTTCGTCCCGGTTTGGCTGCTCGAGTCGGTTTTTCACTGCCCATTTCCTCCCGCATCGCTTTCGGAGGACAACGTTTGACTTGGAACGGAATGACTCGACTCGGCAGTCAGCGTCCTCTTGCGGACCACCTCTGGCGACCCTCCGCGCCGTCGTGGGGCAGGAACAACGTTCCTTCCCACTTTTACCTTTGTGCTAAAGTTCTTTTTGACTCAGTCCCTCTACTTTGACGTGATTTGAACCGTTGACTTTTTCGAATCTGCATCTCTTCTCGAGTGCACAATGCGAGCACCTTCGCCATCTCCGTCCGTTTGCAATCCGAGTGACAATTTTGGTTTTTTTTTTCGAGTACGGAAGTACTCACCTGGCCGAGGTCTTGGTCGTGGAGCGGGTGCGACGCTCGAGGCTGAAAGCAATTCTGACATTTGCTCTTCTGAAAAATGTTGGCTTGGAATTTGCGACAGGGGTTCTCTGTGACTGACATGGTGGTGGGAGGACGACGACGGTCTGGGCGCTTCGAAATCAAACTGAAGCGCCCCCCCCCCCCCCAAAAGTTTGGCGGTGACACCGCTGTGCTCTTGCGGTCACTTGGGCATGATTGTCGTCGTGCTCACGCTCAGCCGTTCCAACGTGTCGCTCTGAGGCCGACCGTCAAGTTGTGGTTCTACTGTAGCATGCTGTGTTGTCGACGAGCGGAGACAGGTGTGTGTGCAAATGGGGGGGGGGGGCGCTTAATTGCGTCGCTCAACGAGGCGTCGACGTGTGGTGGCCGACGCTGCTCTGGTCCTGACGGCTCCCGTCGGCAGCCTCCATTGCGGGGGAAAAAGGGGGGGGGGGGCGGCGCCAATTTTGCGAAGGGAATCCGATCCTCCGAATATCTCACGAGCGAGAGCGCGTTCGCACGCGTTCGGCTTCCGCTCCGCACACGATCACGTTTCAAAACACGCCGCGAATTGGACGTCGGCGTCAAAACGCCGCTTTGGGCCGGACGTCGAGTTGGTGCAAAGAAGGGAGGGGCTACGTCAAACGCTTCGTGACTGACTGCAATCTTGGCCAATCGGGCGCCTGGTATTCAGGCGGCTCTGTAAATTGACCAATCGGAGCCCTCTAAAGTCCCCCCCCTCCTGATGCTCGGTGGTCTTCCGAACAAACGGCCCGCGGACCGCTAACTGGACGCTTGGTACTGGACAGGGGCGGCCAAAGTTGTCAGACAGATACCGATAGTTAAAAAACAAAAAATAAAACAGCAGTGAAAGTACAAGGAGTGATCAAACTCAAGGAAAGCGTGCAGATACAGCGCATATAATAAGTGAAATGTGAGTTTGTGTTATTAGGAAATGACACCAAGATAAATCCTTTCAAATTGTTTTCAACATCGACAACTCAAGTGGAATAAAACCCCCAAAACAACAGCAACAAAAGTAGATTTGTCAGTGAGCATGTGGACACAGACGGCCTATTTGACGCGGCGTATCGAAAGACGATCTACCCGCCAGAGCGATCGTAGATGGCGGCCCTCGGAATTCCGGACTTCAGACTGGATGGAGACGCCTTTCCCGCTGCTTTCTTCATCGAGTGACTGGAATTGAATGAGCTCAAATCATCTGCAAACGAGATAATCGCCACAAAAGCTCCCCCCCTCGGTCTGTCCACACAGACCAAAGAAGCACGCCAAGGAAGTCGGCATCTGTCATCGAAAACCGGCTCTTTCAGCGCCACATCAAAGTAAAAAATGACAGACTACTGGCGCAAGCCTTTGTGATGAGGATGGACGGAAACTAAAGAAAGAAATATCAAAACACATACTCAGCCACGAATAGACACTTCAGCTCATTTTATTTTCATGCCGCTTGAGCAGAGTTGTGTGAAAAAGAAACTCCTTATTTTTGAACTTGACGGCCCACATTCACGATGATTTCGAGACGACACAATCTTCCGAATGTAGGATTACGTTATAGATCATCACGCAAGAAGAGTACGTAGGGGCCTTTTGTTCCGACAGCTAATCAACTTGTTTTTTTTTCCAATTGTGCTCCAAGTGCAGCCCTAATCATTTTGGGACATGAATGATCATCGTTGCGGCAAGTTAAGAAAATAAAAGAGCCCAAACATCGCACGATGTAAATCTCCTCTACTCAGCCTTTCGTTTCAATCATCATCGTTTGAAGGCAAATTCACACCGAGGCGTTGACGTCACAATGGTAAAATGCTCAGCGGAAGACTGATTGAGATCTTCCATCTTGCTTAAACGTGACATTCTACGCGCAAACATTCCTACGATTCAGCTTTTAGCTCAGATCATTTAGTCCTCGGAATACTTCAATATGAGCACGGACTGAGGAAAAAAAAAAATCAAATAACAATAATAATGCGTGCTGCTCTGCCGCCCCCACCTGTATGTTGAAATCGTAGCAGTCTGAAAAGAAAATACAGTGCAACGAATCCAAACAAAAGAAGACATTTTAAAAGAGGTTCGCCTTTTTCTTCATGTCGTTTCGTTTCCAAAGCGGGAGGCGCTCAAATTCTTTTGCCGCCATGCCGAAGATATCAAAGAAGGAATCTGGGGACAGGTGACGCTGAAACGAAAAGAAAATCACAGCATCACTGTCGGAAGAGCACCGCCGTCCGTCAACGTCCCGAGTTGCAGTATTTGGTCCCAACGGTCGCGCCGCTCCCAGGATGTGCGTGGATGCCGCACGTTCTTTTGAGCTACTTTTGCACGCCGCCATGTTTCGGGTCAGCGTTTTTCCGGCCTCCGGTCGGTCGGTGGGGGCAAAAATCGCGTGACTAGCAAAGCGCTCGTGTTGGGATGGGCACACGGTCACAGATCGCGTCATCAAGATCTCTTGTCTGCTTTGGTTCCGATGTTTTCACGCTGTGAAATGAATCTGGATCGTGCGCCGCTGCGCATGATCTTCACGGCACGCTTGCATGCTGTAGCGTCGCCTTGCGGAGAATGCCGTCGAGCGTTACCTCTAATCTCGTTCTGTCCACCTCTCTGGGAAGCTTCGCACGCCCCCTGTTGGCGACCGTCAGCATTTCGTACGGGTAGACCTTGGCGCAACAAAGGGAACGAACGGCAACAAGTTTTCGTCAGGAGGACACAAAATAGACATGTCAAACGTCCGGAGTAAAAGCGGAACCCGCCCCTCCCAAAAAAAAGACAAACACACACATGCACGGTTAGTGTTTGCAAACAAGACAAAGAAGCACACAATTTGGAGAGAAGGGCCGCAATACTTGCTTTTGGCTCCAGCAAATTAGGCATCGACACTCCCCGGTCCATTCGCGCCAACGGATGCGGACTGTCGCGGAGGAGCTAGACACACAAGCAAACACTTGCGGCGACAAGAGATCCGCAACACTTCGGCGTTACAAGCACATTTACCGCAAGCGACATAGAGCGCGCACGCTTCATCGAGACGCAGCACTTATGTCGCCGGGAGCTGCAAATATGCTTGAGGTTTGATTTTGGAGTTGCTTGCATGGATGCTTGATGGGAGCGACTCAATTCCCGCAACATACCTGGAAATCTGAAAGGGGAAAAAAAACGCTTGTTTTAGGATGATTAGCGCAGAACAAAAAACAACAAACAAAAAAAAGCCATCAACAACAAAAACACCGCAGAATCCTCGAAATACCTCGAAAAGTGTCGCCGCTGCTCCGAAGGAACTCGGCAGATTGTGGCTGAGTAGAAGCAAAAAAGAAAAACATCTCAAAGTGGGGTTTCAGCAAACTGGAAAGAAAGGATCGTGTGGCGTCTTCAACAGAAACTTCAATTCGAAGCTCTGGCATGTGACACAGGACTTCAAGCTGACAGGGTTTTTCTTCTTTAAGAAGAAAAAGAGGATTATTCATGGAATGACCTTTGTTTGTTTGTTTTTTTGTTAAACAAGTCACTAATTTGTTCTCAAAGCATTTTGAAAGGCGCCACCTTTTGAGTTCCTTTGACACCGAGGCTCCTTGGGAGAACGAATGGCCATGCCCGGACCGAAGCCCAAAGTGGGAGAGCTCCGGCCCGAATGTACGTCGGTGTGAAGAGAGCGCTTGAAAACGGACTCACCGGATGAAGGCGGTTGCGAGCGTCCGCGGGCAAAGAGGATGTCTGGCCGGCGCTCGGATCTACGGCAATGCAAAAGGGCAGACGGGGACCATCTCAGTCTGACTGCGTCACTTCACAACAAACGCATCCCCTTGGTTTGTCGTGACACGGGCCAAAGAAGTCGGAAGGGTCACGACGAGGGCGTCGCGTCGCCTTCTAGGAAACGAGCGAGGCCGACAGTACCTCGCCGCTTGAAAATGGGAGGTCTCGCGCACACGTCGAAACCTTGATCTGTCCGGGACAAAAAAGTGGCGTCAGCGCAAAATGCGGCGATGTCAAATCAAAGTCAGAACGCGGCGAAACGGGAGTCGCTCGATGGCGCGGGGCGATGGACCCGTTCGCTCTTCTCACAACTGGAGGTGAAAGATTGACGGCTCGGTTTCACCACTCGATGGCCGCGTTTGCGCGGAGATACCGCCGTCCGCGATTTCCTTCCGCGTTCGACAATTCAGCGCTAGGTTTGGTTTTTGATCAATTTCAGAATAAGGACGCGGCACCAAAAGGGACGGCGGTCGCTATTTTCATGACAAACGCGAGGTAAAGCAACAAAAACCTCTCTGACAATCCCAAAAAGTGAGTTGGTGCGGGGGGCCTCCCCGGGGAGAAAAAAATAAGACCAATAAACGGGGTCGGGGGCGGGGGCGGCGCAATAGCAGAGGCTGTTGCGATCTTACCTGCGGTGTCGGGAACTAAGCGGTGACAGCAAGAGGGAGCGGGCACGGTGCCGTTGGAAGGAAAGAAAGAATCCAGAAGAGAGGGGCGTGAAATGGAAAAGTGGACAGGTATAGGGGGGGAACAAAGCATGAAGTTGAGAAATGTTTTACCCGGCAGGTGGAAGTGTTGCGGCGACCGAGTTGGCGCGTAGCTGTGACGGCCGTACGAGCCAACGCCCAAAGAGCCGTGGCTGGCCGATTTGGGGATGCGTTTCCTCAAGTCGTCACTTTCCTTGACAAACGAGAGGACGCCGGCGGACCATTGGGACAAGGTGGCGTCGCGGTGATTCGACACGAGCAAGATTTACCTCTGTGGTGCCCGAGACATTTGCCAGAGACTAAAAACAAAAAAACAAACACAAGCAGGAGCTGGAGCTCAACTTTGATGCGCTATTTGGAGATCTACTTTGCTCACGTAAAGAGAGAGAGAGAGAGATGAGGGTGAAAGGCCGTTTTACCTCCGCCGAGCTTTTTCTGTCCTGCGCGTTGCCTCTGCCGACGCCGTCGCTCTCGTAAGACATGGTATCGGGATGCTCAATGTCATAAATAGCCTTGACTCGGGGAATGGCCGCCAAGTCTCGGTAATCGATCATCTGGTCATCGACTTTAGCCTGCAAATGCGGAGTTGCAGAAGCACAGCGAGGCTGAAAACGGGAGCAGACGCGATGGCTTGAGACGGGCGAAACGTCAAAGCTGGCACTCGTGGGGGCGGCGACACGTTGGTCCCGCGACGCCGCGCGGCTTCAAGTTCATTTCGACAACATCAACTGCGCTCGGACTTCTCAATGCGGCAATTCCAGCGTGTGCGCATCTCTCCATTCGTTTCACCGGCACGAATAAGAATGGATTTTCAGACTCGGGACCCGTTCTTGCTCTTCCCTCGGCGACCTCGCGGCCCTCGGTCGCCTTTCCCCGACTGGGAGTTGACGTTGACACGTTGACCCGCCCCCGCGGCCGATCGGCCTTTGGCTACGACGACGCGGCGTTCGGGCTCGGACGCTTCGCGGCCTCGACGTGGACTTGACGTGGACTCTGAAGGTCACTCTGCGTTTTTTGTTGCGCGGCGCGTTGTGAAAGGTCCGCTCCAAGCCGTCTAACTGGCGACCGCGCACGCCCTGGACGCCACAGCTCGCTCGAAATTGAGCCCAGGCTCCGCTCGCTTCATTTTTGCCACGATAGCTCGGGACTTGAAAGCCAAAACGCCAAACGTCCGCAAACAATGCCGGGAAGAAAGACTGTAGGTTTGGCCGACTTACGCAAATGGAGCGTCCGGGGCTTCCGGGCGAACGCGAGGCGGGTCCGGAGCAGGAGCTTTCCGACCAAGTTCGAGTCGACTGAGGGGGAGAAAGCAGAGAAGTCAGTTTCATCCGCGTTTTCTGTTTGCGCCCGCCGTGAATGCGCACACGTGACGCGAGCCGGCTCGCTGAGCGCAACTGTATCGTGCGCTTCCATCGCTCCTCGGTGATTCCCAACCTTTCGGGAGCCAAACTTTTGAAAACTCTCGTGGCACGGGACCACAAAAAAGAGGTCACGTGATACAATTGACAGCAGTACATTGTGCTCATGTTGAGCCTTTGAACCAGTTTCAGGTATGCAGGAGGGCTTATAGGAGGCTTAAAGGGGGGGGGGGGGTCTCTATATTGCTAATTTTCATCGCGGGGAGAGGGATGAAACGGGAAAAATCCACTCTGGAGAGTGAGCGTCAGTTCACTCGGAGGGAAAAAGAAATCAAGCCGAGGTGCTCGGGCTCGCCGCACCTGAGGAGAAGCGCACGCGGTCCTCGAAAGGCCCCTCCCTCATTTCAAGGCAAGCGGCGGTTTTACCCTGCGGCCGTCGCGGTTTCCGCTGCTCTCTCCGCTGCTCTCTCTGCAGTCCGGGTGCCACACGCTGGATCCTGGCGAACGGAGAAGGCTTGAACAATCGTCGCCGCCGCGTGGCGAAAGCCGGCGCGTTCTCGGCACTCGCCTTGCAAAAACACGCCTTGGCCCTCCGCGAAGGTTTCGTCGCATCGGCTGCACCTGGCGCATTCCGGGTGATAGCGTCGGTCGCCGGCCTGTCGGAAATCACGAGGGATCATATTCGCCGCGCGGTCAAACAGGTTGCACGTCACAGATTGGAAATCGGAATGCGACATTTGCCCGGATTTGTTTTTTTTTCCCCTTTTCCGGTGGCTTCGGCTTTGGGAATCAAAACGTCTGGGCTCACCTCAAGGACTTTGCCCGTGATGAACTTCTGGCACGTGTCACACTGCACCCCGAAGCGAAGCTGGTAGTCCCGCTCGCAATACGGAACGCCGTCCCTATCGGGCGGACACGCGAGCGAGCAGAAGCTACATTCAAAAGTGGACGCGACGGAGCGGTCGCTACGCGAGCAAACACCCGCAGCCGCTGACATTTTTCTTTGCCGGCGTGTCGTGAGACTTTCTCAAGGCAAAAGGCGCACCCTTGCACACGGGTGCATTTTCTTACCGTCGCCTTACAGAGCGGACGGGGACGAGTCAAGAAAGGTATCACCGAGACGTCGGTATTTACTTGCTGATGTATTCTCCCCTCAGCGTTTGTCCGCAGACGGCGCACTTGAAGCAGCCCAGGTGCCACTGGCCGCCCAGAGCCAGCAAAGCCTGACCGTTCTTGATGCGGCGCCGGCAGCCGTCGCAGTCTGGGAGAGCGCGAGCGCCGGCGCAAAGCGCCAGCTGGTCAACTTGAAAACGCGACCCCCCCGAAACGAGGCAAAGACGCGCCTACCGGTGGCGTATCTGATGCCGGCCGGCGGAGGAGTCAACGGGTTGACGCAGCGCTGGCAGATGCGCTCTTTCCCGCTGAAGGTGACGCAGTCGCCGGCAGGAAAAGGTTGCCTGCGAAAGAACGGAAAAGCACATCCCGCGACTTCGGTGGCGTTCACTTGCGTATACGCGCGCTGCGCTTTATTTCGGGCTCACCCCGTAGCGTTTCGCTATCCTCGGAGATCTGCGCGTTTTGGCGGGCTTTCCGGAACGCCATTAAGATGGCGCAACGCGGCCGGGAAGTGCGTGCGGCGCCATCTTACGAGTTCGATCGTCGGCGAAGGTCCGACATTTGTCGACGTGACGCGAGGCGTTTGTCCGACCACGTGGGCAATTTGGAAAGACGACGGCCGACCGTTGCCGGCGTTTCGGCCTCCTCGCTTGCGCCGGCGCATATTGACGGCGCAAGCGAGGAGCAGCGGGATTCGAATGAGCGCGTTGGTTTAATTCTTGGAATCTTACTTGCAAACGGTGCACACGAAGCAGGTCGGGTGATAAGTCTTGCCCAGGACGGCCACCGCGTCTCCCTCCACGAAGCCCCCGCAGCCGTTGCAGACGGTGCCGTGAAGCCTCTGGTAGTCCAGCGGGCAGAGGCACTCGCCGCTCTTGATGAAGAAGCCCGAGTGGGTCAAGTCGCAGCCGCAAACTAAACAAACACGCAAACAAAAGCTCGTTTTGCCACATTAAATTGGGAGGGGGG